CCCCTCCTCCTGCCAGCCAGGACAGTGATATGCCAACTTCTGCACCCCAGTCCTGCTCACTCTTCCCTCGTTAGGAAGAGCTGCTCACCATCAATGGCGCTGCCTTCACCGGCTCCATATCTCCGAGGTCACCAGATCGGTCCAGTGTCCTGCTGTGGTCCCTCTCATTGAGTGTGGAATAGTTGTCTGGAGTAGGAGAGGAGACAGTCAGTCATTCCACCTCCACGGCAGGCAGCATCATCCCCATAGGAGATGTCAAGTCTGCCCTCTCCCAGCATACCAAGGAGGCAAGATGCCCTCCTTCCAGTCCCTCTCCTACCTGGTCCCATGTTGCTCATCTGAATCTCCTCCCGGGAGGATTTCTTGTCTACAAGCACGGGAGAGCAGCAGATCAGACACAGCCTCTGCAGCCACAAGCAGCAGAGGAACCACTGCCTACCCCAGCTAGAGGAGCCCAGACCCAGCTGCAGCACTGCTGACCCAAGGATGTACAGGACCTAGATGAACTGCACACATCATTTCTAGCCTTGAGAAGCCACCCAAAGCCCAGACTGATGGCCTTGCATGAGCTGCTGTGGCTCCCAAGAAAGCCAGGGCTGAAGAGCAGGGAGGGGACAAAGGCCAGCTGTTCTGGGTACCCACAAGGTGGAAGGAGGACAGCGGGGATGGGTGCTGAAAGGAAGGCACATACCTGTTTTTTGGTTCCTGTCGATGAGCGGCAAGGTGCTGTCATCAAATGAGTTGCCTCCCTGAGTCCGAGAGGCATTGCTCAGGTTCACCTGGAGCATCAGACAGTGACCACTCACACCCTGGCCCAGACACTCCTTCCCCATCAGCACATCCCACCTCTCTAGCCCCCAACATGACAGACCCAGGAACTCTCCCCACAGCACTTGAGCAAGAGGCCTGAAGCAACCAGAGGGTGCTCCAGAGCCCATGACTGCACCCACATTAGAGAGTGGAGGCACCTGCCTGGACTGCGTTGGAGCAGCAGCCAGCTCTGAAGCAGCAAGGACAGTCTCAGCTTTTGGGAAAGAAACTGAGCCCTGGAGAAACTGCCACAGTGGCTTTTAGTGCTGCAAACTTTCCTGCTTGCAGATCTGCGTGCTTATGTGTGGGACTCGGGGCTTGAAGCTTTACAGAGTGTTTCCTTCCTTAGTAAAGAATTC